TAAAAATTAAAGAGAAAGAGAGAGAGAAAGAAAAAGAAAATCTTAAAATGACAGAGACAAGTCTAGTTTAGGACAGAAAGATGGAAATTTCAGGAGGGAGGTGTCAGAAAAAATTATGGCCTACACAGATTATTTTATATATATAAACAAATGGGAAAATGATAGACTTAGGACATTAGTAATAAAATATTAAAGATAACTATTCAAGTAAAATTTTTGTCACATTAACTCCATGAAAAACAAAAAACTTTCCCCCCCCAAATCATATCATATCACAGAAAAAATACTTGATGCTGTAGTACATAATATTTACATGATCATAATAATGTAAACTCTGATTTTAGGTAAATGAAAATCTGATAGAATAATGCTGGGAAGATAAAGGAGGTACAGATGAGCCAAATTTGACCTAACATAGGAGGAATTAATAGATAATACTTTAAATTAAATTCCCAACCTGCAGTACAGGTACATCATGCAGAAAAGAGCAGAAGCATTAACTTAAAGAATTAAAATAATCACTCAAGGAGAACAGAGCCAGAGAGTATGGAGGGCTGGGGTAGGAGACCAATGAGTTGCAGCAATGTGTTTTAGTCTTCTTTTGTTTTTTTAAAAAAGTATGTGCATTTATTATTCTCATAAAAATAAAACACTATCAATTATTTCTACTCTTGGCTTAGGGATAGCATTTCTACTAATCTATCCAAAGGCTATGAAAAGTGATGCTGTCAATCTTGTATGTTCATTACTAGAGACACCTGAATGCAGAGCAATAGGGAACTGGTGAAAGAAATGAGAGTGCATACAAAGGATGGATTAGAGAGCAACTATAAATATACTTAGTTTGATTTCCACAAGGTACTGTTAAGAAACAAAAGTCAAAAAAAACCCTGCAAAAGATGATTCAATTCTTACATAATAAAAGCTGGCCTTGTATTTATGAATATATGCATAGCTAAAAGTATAGGATTCTATGAGAGTACAGAAAAATAAGGATAATACACAGCGCTACTAACAATTCATTGAGAAACTGCTGATAAGATTTGAAAAGGATGGAAAGAAGCCATGGTTATCTCTGGTGCTGGGATAGCATGTTTTAAAGGGAATTACTTACAATCATTGTTTGTGATTATTCTCTCTAACTTTTCATTTTTCTAGATAATCAGGGGGCAGAGTAAACATAAGGATTCCTTTTATTGAAATGTAACACGAACAAAACTGTTTCCGTATTTTCCAAAGGATCACAATAGTCAGGTATTACTTTTATAATTAGAATAAAGTGTTTCAGGAAAAGAATCTGCTCTTGTCTAAAATTCAAATTATCAGTATCCATGACTGATTTCGCACTTATCTTAGCTTCAAAATCTAGATATTAATGTCTTCTCACTGCCAGTCTCCAGCAAAGTATCTGAAGTTAATGTTCTAAGAAATCTCAAAATTTCCCATCTACAGTGTTAATCTTGTGAAAAAAGAAATAACATAACATTGTGGGTTATCAGAACTCTTCAGACATCAGTGTGCTTAAGATGATGTTTTGGAAGAAACTTATATATGCACTTGACTTTTAATGCTGTGCTCAAAAACTATTACTGTTATCAGTTCTGTGAGTCACACACAGTACCCAACAATATTCAACACACAAACTCTCGTGCAGAAAATAATAAGCATAGCTATTGAGTGGAGTATATGCATATCTACATCCCAAATCAAAACCTCACACTACCTGCATGTGAGAGGTATTACAACCAATTAGTCACCATAGCGATTTACAAAATCTTTTATGTGCCATGTACAATGTATTTTTCAATAAACATGGGGCCACAGCTTATCAATGTATTACATATTCAAAATGTGCAAAATATGTCTGAAAAAATTTTAAGACGTTTAAGAAAGGTATGAATTGAAAAAACCTGGAGCAAAAAGACAAGAGTAATATTTAAAAAATAAAATCCCTTAAATACCTAAACCACAAAGTGTGGAAGAAAATGCCCTAAGAGCAACAGAATCAGCATTTTGTAAGGAGAGAAATGATAGACTTAAGGGGTGATCAGAAACAATTTCACGGAGAAGGGAATTTCTGAAACAGACACAATTTCAACAGGAAGAGAAGGAGAGAAGAAACATGAACAAAGGCCATGATGGAGGAATGATTAGGACGTTTTGGAGGACCAAATTCATGCATTTCAGGTGGAAAACTGAGTGAGCAGATGTGAGGTCTAAATGCTAAAATAGGACCATATTTTAAATCACCGTGGAGTTCAGAGAGAGAAGCCTGTATTAAAATTATTAAATAGTGGCCAGCAGACTAGGCATTTCATTCATTCATTCAGTGACATTCACTGAGCCTCTACCATGCACTGAGCACTATGATAAGGACCAAGGATAGGGAAGGAAGTAAAAAGGGGGCATCATCTCTGTCTTAATGATGCTTACAGACTAGTGGAGAATACAGACACTAATTAAATGATCAAAGGATGTAAAATTACATCAGGGACATAAACTATGAAATTGAGTTATTATGAAGGACTTGCCAAAGCTACATTGTTGAGAGAAATCTTCCCCTAGAAGCAACATTAGAGATGGCACTGGGGTGATGGAACGGGGAAGGAAAGTGTTCCAGGTAGGTGGGAAAATGATGTACAAAGACCTTGGATGGAGGAAATACATATGGCTCCTCACCTGCAGTACACAAACCATGAAGGAGCATGGAATGAAATAAGGCTAGAATGGTAGGACAAGTCCAGATCAACCCAGAAAGAGCTCAAAAGGATTTTCATTTTATATGGGAGAACTGAGGTCTCAAAGAGTGGGGAAGCAAGGTTTTGGGAGAGATTCGTCCAAAACCTAAGTGACAAAAACCCTCAGGTGTCATAACTTCAGATTTAATACTCTTCCCATTTAACAGTCCTAACTAGGGAGATGGATGGATTCAGACACATCATGTAGGATGCACATGGAGGGGAGAGACACGAGACTGGGAGGCTGGTGACAATGGCCATGCAACCAACCCAAGTGGGCATAATAAAAGGCTGGACCCTTCATCTTTACCCTGAATAGAAGATACTGACCCACAAGTTAAATAATATATTGTTTTGAACTATAAGACAAAGATTTAAAAAATCTATACAGCTCTTTCACATCAACGAGGTGTCAACTGGCCCCACCTCTTTGGAAGACAATATTCATACTTAAGAAGGGACACATCTTTGTTCTGGAAACTTCTTTTCTAGGAATTTATGTTTTAAATACTTATATAAAGTAATTTATTTGTATACTATTCTATATTTGCAATATGTGAACATTATATATCCCTACATTGTAAAATACATGTATATTAATATTATATATCTGGGCACACAGATTTATGGAAAAGAAATTTTTTGCAACATTTTTTATAATTGCAAAAGTCTGTAATCATACTTAAATGTCAGCCAGTAAGGGAGCAGTTAGATAATTTACAGCACATATATAAAATGAAATTCTGCATGGCTGTTGAAAAGATTTGAATAGATCTACAGGCTCTGACATTCAGAGACTTCCCTGATAAAATAGTAAGTGAAAGTGAGCAGGGGGTAGAACAAGATAATACACAGTGTTCTACCATTTGTGTAAAAATATACAGATGCTCTCTAGAAAAATACACAAGAAACTGGTTATTAGTTATTATATCTGGAGAGGAGAACTTGTTAGCAAGGGGACAGGATGAATGCAAATTTTTTTCATCTAGTTTTTTTTAACAACATATTTTTTTAAATCAAGCATAATGACTATTCTAAACAAATAATATTAAGAGTTCTGGACCAAGGTGGCAGTGGTCAGAAAAGGATGCAGGGCATATTTGTGTTCTAGAAACATTTCAAAAGTTAGCTCTACATGGCTGGGCCAAGAATGCAAGGAGTGAGCTAAAAAGGATCCTCAAGATTACAATCAGATTTTTGACTCCAAGGAGGATCAAGGTAAGGAAAGAAAGAAGAAAAAGTGGATTGGAGAATGTAGAGAAATGACAAGCTTGGTTTTGAATTGGTTTTGAACATCCTGAGTTCAAAGCAAAAGTGATACAGCCAGAATTATAAGGCATTTTTCTTTTACATTAAGAAGAACCATTCTTTAGACAACAGTCTGTTACATTTGGATATATTTTTTTAATAAAAGAACCTTTGAAAGGTCTAGTGGTTTTCATTTTTTACAAGTAATTGAATACATTAATTTTGCTAATGGGGGGAAAGTACATGACAGCCACATGCTGCTGCTTCTAGGGTTTGCTCGAACTATTTCCGTTGTGGGGAAGGTATGCACAGACTTTGCCACTATCTAAGTATAGAGTTGATTCTGGGCTATCTTTTCCCTTTTCTCTGCCAGCATCCCAATCTTTCTGTCTCCTAAATCACAACGTGCATATTAACAAATTTCACCAGTCATCCTTACTTTATGTCCTCATCGTTGGCAAAAATCACGACGGCCCTGGAGTTGGGGGTGTCCAGGAGCTGTTTGATGATTCTATCAAAGTCAATGGTCCTGTCTTTGCGCTCTTGGGGGATTCTCACGGACTGGGCAATGCAGAGCCCACCTATTTAAGAAAAGAAAGCAGAGTGTCAATAAAGTTCCCATCAAGACACCAAATGGATCAGGGAAAGTAGCTGGGGAGGAGGAAGTTGTGAATTCTGAGTGCACAGCACTTCTTTGGTGATACTGCTGAACGAGGAAGGCTTAGGACGTTATGCTGAACCCTGAGATGTTCATACTTGGTGCACCTTCCATGGTACTGCACAGCCTCATTCTCTTTGTAATGAACTTGTAAATGGCCAGTTATACCCAGGAATACCTATGATACTGATTCTGGGGAGGCAAGTTTAGTTAGACAAACCTGGGTGAGAGGTCTTTAAAATGAATGCAATACACTACAAGAAACCCACAATCAGTCAACTACAATTAAAAAAAAAAATACTCAAACAGGTAAAGCTCATGTCAACTTCTGTCACTTTTCTGGTAATTGCATTCCCAGATTTTTTTCCCCTTTACACCTATCCCAACTTCTGAAGCTCACAGCCAATGGAATAAATCTAAAAATAAAACCACAACAAAGATCAACTATTATAAATCACAGTAATAAACTTTTATTGACCATGTGCCCAACCCACAAATATGTGTTTTATGTATGTTATTCGATCTTAAAAACCTTATAATGTAGTCAGCATTACTCATTTCATGTTAGAAGAGAAAGGATTAAATACATAAATAGATGTGTTTACACCAGACTTCTCAGAAATGTTAGTGTATTAAATGGCTTATGAATTTCAAGACAGGGAAATATGCAGCCGTTTACGAAGCAACAGATACAGTCTTCACTACCCCAACTCTTGCTTAGCAGAAGCTCCTGGATCTAGTATTGCATAAAACACACCTGAAGAAAGGCTAATGTAGGCAAAAGGGGTAGAGAGGGTATTTGTAAGAAAGGCCCCAATGGACAGAAGACCTGGGCCAGAGACAAGAGGAAAACTGTTCTATTTGTAATGTGGAGGTACCCGTAATCAACAAGCTAACACTCAGAGCATGGACAGTGGGCTGGGCGCTACCAGTCCTCCACAAACATAGAAAAGTACAAACTCTAATCCAAAGGTGACCCTCGATTACATTTTAATCTCAATTGGTGCCAGCTCTCTATAAATGGCTCTCAGCCTTCAGTGTGCTTGAAATCATCAATGGTCATAGGTATAAAGCAAAAAAATCCAGCAACACTCCCAACAAACATGACCTAATTCAAATTTATAGAACCACCCCCAGGACAACAGAATAGTACACATTCTTTTTGAGTGAAAATGAAACATTCATTAAGCTAGACCATATTCTGGGTCATAAAAGAGAAAACAACACCTAAATTAAAAAGAGCATTATGCTCTCAGACCATAACACAATCAAACTAGAAATCAATAACAGAAAGTTAACAGGAACAGCTCCAAGTGTTTGGGAATTAAACAGCACACTTCTAAATAACCCATGGGTCAAAGAGGAAGTGTCAAGGGAAATTTAAAAATATTTCTAACTAAATGAAAATGGAATTGCAACATCTCTGAATATATAGCTAAACTGATGTTTACAGGGAAATAGGTATCATTAACTGCTTATGTTAGAAAAGAAGAAACTTCCAGAGTCAGCAACTTAAGTGCCTACTTACAGAAATAAGAGGAAGAAGAGTTAAGTAAATTTCCCCACCAAAAAAGGCAGAAGGAAAGGTGTGATAACACTTAGAACAAAAGTCAGTGAAACTGAAAGCAGAAAAATAACAGACTAAACCAATGAAATCAAAGCCTGCTTCTTTGAAAAGAGCAATAAAACTGATAAATCCCCAGCCAATGCTGGCCAAAAAGAAAGGTCACAAATGACCATGTCAAGAATAAAAGAGAGGTTAACCTTACTGATTCACGGACAGTAAAAGGTAATAAATGAAAATTATTAAAATCTTTATGCCAATAAATTCAACAACTTCAATGAAATGGACAAACTCCTTGAAAGATACAAATTATCAAAACTGAAGGAAGAATAGATAATCTGAATAGTCCTATATGGATTGAAGATACCAAATTCACAGTGTAAAAAACAAACAAACAAACAAACAAAAGTCTTCCAAACAAAGAATCAGGCTCAGATGTTTGACTGATAAATTTTATCAAACAGTTAAGGAAGAATTAAATCATAATCTGTAAAAGCTCTTCCAAAACATCAAAGAAGAGAGAAAATAATTCATTTTACATAATCAGTATTACCCTAATACCCAAATGAGATGAATAATTACAAAAAAAGACCAACACCATTTATGAATATACTTGGAAAAACTCCTTAAAAATTTACTAACAAAACAAACCCAGCAATACACAGAAAATGAATAATATATCACAACCAAATGGATTTCACCCAAGGAATGCAAAACTGATTCATTATTTAAAAACCAATCATTGTAATTCACATATTAGCAGACTTAATATGAAAAAGCAGATAATCATCTTAATACATGCAGAAAAAGCACTTCACAAAATTCAATATACAATTATGATGAAAACCGTAAACGAGGATTAGAAGAGACCTTCCTCAGCCTAAGAATAGGCGTCTACAAAAAGCCTACAACGAGCAACATACTTAACAGTAAAAATGACATTATAATTTTGTCCTCTTTTAAAACTCCTATTTAGCACTGTACTAGATGTCCTTGTCAGAGCAAAAAGGAAAGAGAAAGAAACAAAAGTTAGTTAAGCAATACCTCCAAAAATGTAGTATTTATGCATAAATCTAACAAAACATGTTTATTATCTTTATTTCAAAAACTATAAAACATGGCTGAAAGGAAATTTTTTAAATTAAATAAATTCTCCCCTATTTTACCTATAGATTCAATGCAATCTCAATAAAAAAATCTCAGGAAGCTTTTTAAAAATATATATATATGTTTTAAAAAAAAAAATATATATATATATATGTATATGTATATACACACCAACAACTAATTCTAACATTTCTACAGAAAGGCAAAGGAACTAAAAGAGTCAAAAGAACTCTGAAAAACAAGAACAAAATTGGAGAAGTCACACTACCCAAGTTCAATACTTACTATTAAGCTGCGTCATCAAAACAGTGTGGGACTGGTAAAAGGATAGACGTTTAGATCAATAAAACAGAAACAAGGTCCAGAAATAGACTGATACAAATATAGTCAACTAATTGTTGACAGAGGGGCAAAGACAATCAATAGAGAAAGCATGGTCTTTTCAACAAACGATGCTGAAACAACTGGACATCAAATTGCAGAAATAATGAATTTTGACATATACCTCATACAAAAATTATATACAAAAATCTGTACAAAAATTCATTCCAAATGAATGATAAATGTAAGTAGAAAATGTGAAACTAGAAAAACTTTAAAAGAAAATGGGAAATCTGCATGACCTAAGATTTGGCAATAAGCTTTTAGATACGACAACAAAAACACAAGCCATAAAGAAAAAAATGATGAGATTTTATGAAAATTTAAAACTTCTGTTCTATGAAAGAATTAAAGACATGAAAACACAAGCTAGAAACTAGGAGAAAATCATATATCTAGTAAAGGACTTACATCCAGAATATGAAGAACTCTTAATTAAACTCAGCAATTAAAAAAAAAAACACTCAAAATGAGCAAAACTTCTGAGTAGATACATGTGTAAAAAAGATGTAGAGATGGCAGATAGGCAATAAAACTGTTCAATGTCAGTCATTAGGGAAATGCTAACTATGACCGCAATAATATATTACTACATACGTATTAAAATAGCTTAAAAATAAAACCTAACAATACTAAATGCTGAAGATGATGCAGAGCAACAGAAATGCTCGCTCATTGCTGGTGGGAATGACCACTTTGGAAAACACTTTGGCATTTTCCAAATATTAAATACAGAGTTAACATACCAAGCAGCAGTTCCAATCTTAGGTGTTTATCCAAGTGATGTGAAAAATTACATTCACACAAATGTGCTCACAAATGTCTACAGAAACTTCATTCAAGATCACTAAAACTGGAAACAATGAAGACATGTGTCAACAGGTGAGTGGATAAACAAACTGTGGTCCATTGATGCAACAGGATAAATACTCAGCAACAAAAAGGAGCTACTGATTCATAGAAGAACATAAATGAACCTTAAATGAATATTGCTAAGTGAAAAAGTCAAGCCCCAAAGACTACATATTGTGTATTTCTATTCATTTGACATTCTAGAAAAAGCAAAACCATCAGGGTGGAAAGGAGATTGGTGGGTGCCAGGCATTAGGAGAGAGAACAAGGGTTGTCTATGCAAGGATGTTTTGGGGTGGTAGAAACGTTCTGTATGGTACTGTAATGAAAGATACATGACTCCATGCTCTTGTTAAAACATTAACAACAACACATCCCAATAGCTGGACTTTACTGCATGCAAATTTTTAAAAAGACCAACCAGGATATCAGGGGATGCCACAATGGAAGGCGGGTTGTGACAAACGAACTGAACCACATTACAAATGTATAAGAGAATTTTACTGAAAGGAGTGAGTAGAAAAGGAGTTGGCCTAAGTAACTTAAAAATAGCATATGACTGGAAACTAAGAATGAAGACAAGGAGAATCATATAGAAAATGGTAGTCTGATTTGTACATTTTTCACAGGGATACAAGTTAGCAATACTAGAACTGCTTTCCACATTCAATCTGAATAAAACAATAAATAAATTGTAGGTAAGGAGAGCCAGGTTTCTCACTGTTAGAATTTATACACAAACAATAGAGTATGGCTATAATGAACCATGTAGTATGAGTTAGAGTCAGATATATCAGTGTAAACTCAGGTTTCAGAGTGAGAGAGATGCTTGCATATGGAGGCTGGCACATGTATCCTAAAACTATCCACTGAGAGAGCCTAGAAGTCATGACACTTCTGAGCAATAAGCACACCTAGATGGTGACTTTGAAACACCTTCTTTCAACAGAAAGAACCAAATCTCTGCGGAGAAATGGCTGATTCTAAAGCTGGGGCAGGAGACCTACAAGAAGAACCTG